AAGTGTAGTCCTGAACCCCATAAAGTTTCTTAAATCCAAAAAAGCAGCAGTACCACATTGAATTCCACCAGAAGCACTAAAAATAAATGCAGAGACAACAGCGGACATGCTCACACCACTACTGCAGGAGGTTTGGAAGTAGGGAAGGAAGGAAATGTACCTGGAAGTAGATGGCAAGAAAAACTACTTTGTCAAACTCGCAAAGAAGGGAGACCTAAGTCTTTGTAGGAACTGCCGACGAATCATGCTCCTGTCCCTGTCCACCCAAACCAAGCAAAATATTATGCCGCATCATCTTGGAGAGATTAAAACATGCTGTGGATTCAAAATTTCGACTTTAACAGACTGGCTGGCTGGCTGGCTGGATTCAGGAAGTACAAATCATGTGCGCACCAAATTGCAACGCTACACTACGCATCATCATACAACAGAGTATAGAATGACAGTCAACTCGATCTTCAACTCAACTTTATCGACTTTGAGAAGGCGTTTGACAGCGTCGACAGAGAAGTAATTCACCAGGCAACTGCTTCAACACTACTCTCTTAGTGCCGCGAACCTTTATCAAACTCATTCAACAGCTATGTGCTATATGATGCTACATGCCAGCCAAGTGATTCACAATGGGAAGCTCAGTGACGCCTTTGAAGTGAAGAGAGGAGTAAGACAAAACAAGGTGACCTACTTTCACCGATGATCTTCCTGATTGTGGTTGACTGGACTGGATCATGCAACAGGCAACTGTGAGGAGTGAGAAGATGGGCATACACTGGCTGGACGGATGAAGGGATCCCAGAAGAAGATTTTGATTTTGCTGATGATGATTTACGTCTAATGTCTTGTTGCACAAACTCGAAGGTCTACAGACAAAAACCAACAATTATTATAGTTATTATTATCATTATCAGTATAACAATTATTATTATTATGTATATGCAAACACACGCACACGTAAACTTGTAAACACAATAGGATTTTACGCAATCATCGGTGCAGTGTTTAGGTTTGTGGTGGATCATGTGTTTTGTTCTTTTCACAACCATAAAGTTTGCTGCGTAATATGTTTTCCCAATGGCTGATTTTAGTCAACGTCTCAAAATGATACCTTCCAACTTCCCTCTGTATGGCAGAGTGATATAGACGCTTTTCTTAGGAACCTTGTATACAGTTGGCTTTCATGCTACTTCACCTCTACAACGGTTTACAAACTTCATAGGATACCCGTTTTTCATGAGTGTTTTGGTCAGTAATTTGATATCTTTATCCATCATGTCTGATATACCGATACGATAGATCCTGTTAAACAGGCATTTTACTAGACCTCGCTTGCATTGGTTAGGACAAAAGTTATGACACTTCAGGTGGTTTTCTGTCCATGTGGGCTTTCCGTAAACTGGCCATCTTATTCAACCATCTCATCGACTCAGGAGTATGTCAAAGAATGGCAGATGATTATTATTTTTCTGCTCACAAATCAGGCTGATGTGAGTTTTTACGCCGTTAAGTCTATTTGGTAGACAAGCCATGTCCTCATACCTTTCATAAATCACTATGATGTCATCAACATTTCTCTTGCAAAGAGGAACTTTAGCGTTGAGATCACCAGCCAAATTTTCGATAAATGATATGTAATTATCAGCTGGTAAAGGACCTAAGGGACTGCCCATAGCCACACTGTCAACTTGCCGAAGGCGTTCACCTTCAAATGTATAGAGAACTCTATCTGTACATTGCAATAATATCTCCCTCAGAAGAGTTGAAGTAACAGGAAAGGGGAGTTTTCTAAAATGTATTTGTTGTCCATATTTACATGAATATAGCTGATAAATTATGTGTGAAACTTCATCCAGTAAATGATACTTTTTCACTGTGTGACGGTATCTACCATAACCTGTGGGGGACATAGGCACTTAATATGTTAATAAATAAGCAAAACACGATAAGCCGCAAAATGTTTGGGAGATAAACACTGAGGAACGATAATCGCATATTTTCGTGAATAACGGTGTTCATAATATCTAACTGTAGAAAAGTGGTCTCTTTAGTAATCTATTGATGGCTTATCTTGATAACAATTTAGTTATGGCTAATTGTCTTAAATGGTTGACTTTTAACCAACGTCTTGTATTCCAACCCCATTCTACCTACCGAGGTTTGCGCGACTAGGTTGTATCATTAGCCCACATTCATGGTAGTTGTAACTCATCGCTAACTGCACGATCATGCACAAGGTTTTATCGGGTGACTTTCAATTGCTGGCAACGGTCAATCATTACTTAAATAGGGTTCTGACATCACTGCATGATTGTTTAGGCTGCCACAAATCACAACAGGACATCAAAGTACAAGGAAAAAGACAATAAAGTGGAGAAAAATGGAGATAGATGTCACAGAAATCTATAAGAAACGAAGAAATGAGACCAAGATAAATCTAAAAATAAGGCATGATGATTAATTTAACGATAATGTGTGGATTCGCTTGTATCAGTAAGATCGATTTTGAGGAATATCACCTAGAGTCTCAAATCTTTGATTTTGGTTATCACAGCGACCCCAAGTAGGAAGCCGACATTTCTTTACACGGTTCATCCCAACAGTCAGTGAGTAGATTGGCTAGTGTTGCGTTTCAGTCTGATCTTCTTTTCTAAACTTAAATCTATCTTGGCTAATATCTCAGCAATAAATCACATTATATAATAAATTATCTTATTCAACTAACAGTCTTATCTTCTCAAAGTATTAGCTAGTAGAAGTTTAGTGTCTAGGTTAATTATTTCACAATAGTAGATAATTTTTCTACTCTTATTATGTCTGTATTATTTACAATGACTGAATAATTCATAAAGAATCTATTTTGGCTGTGCTGGAAAACTGATATTCCAGTGTAGTGTTAAAATAAACTTTCTAGTCAATCAGAAGAAAATAAACATTCTACAGGATTTCTTATTTTACAATGGAATGTATTACTTGTTTTGTAAACACATCAGTATTATCATTATATTTTGCTGAGTTGTTTATAAGTTTGCTTTATTGTCTGATTATTTGCTATGTCAATACCTTAAGCATACTTTTGCTAAGAAAAAAAAAACATTTACAACATTCAGTAGATTCTAAATTCTAAAACGCTAAACTAGCTTATCTCATTTGAATTATGATTATGTTTTTTCACCATGTATCAATTTTCTCATTGTGTTGAAATAAGGAAAGGTTATTTATTATTATTATTATTAGTCCCTTGGGTTCCTAGTGGAACATAGGGCTTCAGTAGCACGCCTCCAGTGACCTCTGTTCTCTGAGATCTTTTGAACCTGGTCCCACGACAGCCCACAAGCTCTCATTTCCTCCTCGCACGACCTCCTCCATGTCACCCTCAGCTAGGACGTCCAACTCGTCGCTTCCCATGGGGATTCCACTCGAGCAACTGGCCTGACGCGTGATGTCCTCAGTCGGCCTTCTCAGTGGATGGCCAATCCATCTCCACTTCTTCCTGCATATTTGTTGAGTGATAGATTCTTGGTTGGTTCGTCACCAGCCAGAGCTCCTTGTTGCTTATTCTTTCTGGCAATCCATGTGATCTTCAGTAGCGAGCCAGGGTAAGCAGTTGTTGACGAATGTCTGTAGTTTATTGGAAATGCCTTTCGTCACGCGCCAAGTCTCTCAACCATACAGAAGCACTGACTTGACTGAATTGGTGTTGAAAATCCGGATCTTGTTCCACATGCTGAGTGCAGAAGATCTCCAAACTGGTTTCAGGCTAATGAACACCTGTCTTGGTTTTCCGATTCTGACTTTGACGTCCTCGTCTGTCCCGCCTGTATTTGAAACAATGCTTCCTAGATAAGTGAAGGAGGTTACTTCCTTTAAGTTTCTCCCGTTGACGGTGATTGGAGTTTGTTGTTGTTGTTGATGGTGGTGGTGCGGTATTTTCATCACTTCACCGAAATAGTTTAAAACTACATTTTTAGGATGAGATTTTGTGTAAGCTTAAATTAAATTCTTCAGTAGGATGATTAATTTGAAAATGTTTCATAAACTGAATGGTTCATCAATTTTTAAGTCATTCATAAGTTGTAAAATCCACTTTGACATTTCTCATAGCAAAATAGTTTTTCAACTACTGCTCAACTGTGATATCAGCATAGTTTCCACTGGAAGCCATTCAGCTGAGATCACAACATGTGATCTCTGATATGACAGTGTTACTAACTAGCAAAAGATACTACCATTGAACAACCTACGTAGTTAGATACCACCCAGGTTGATCTTTAGTATTTCACCAGCTAGATCAGAGTGGTCTAAATACCGGATGTCTGGACCAGTTCAGCTTCCACAGCGCGTAATCCGATTGTATACGAGTGCATCCGCGTACGCTGCTAACGGGCTCGCCCCCAAACTAGTGAAATAGTCGTCAGGTGTTTAGATTACTTTGATCTAGCTGGCAAAATACTACGGATTAGCCTGAGCTGTTTTTGACTACTCAAGTTGCTCTTTCATTAAATTAGATCTTATGCATACAAGATTTTCTTATTTAATGCAGCATTTATTGTCATACTGACTAAACGATGTTTCAGGTATAATGAATATCACCTGATTGTTTCATGATGGTCACATAACGTTTGATATTTAAGTTTAAGATTTTATAACTACTTAGTTTTTTTAAGTTAAGTGGTAGCAGAATTTTTCATACATGAAAATGACTGAATGTTGAATAATTCCTATTGCACGTGGTTTCGCATTCATTGACCGATTATTATTATTATCAAACTTTGTATGACCATCTTGATGGTTTACTTGAAATATGTTGGATTTAAAAATACCGCATTGTTGGACATTGTATTTTTGATGTTGTAGCGCAGTGCTCTTTGTATATGCATATGCATTAAACTTGATTTCGTTTTTATAACCTGATAGTTTTTATTTTGTTTGTCAATTATTATCTGTCATTTACACAGTCTATGTAAATCAATATCTAATGTGATAATTTTTTTTTCTCATCATAGGCAAGAAAGATTAAATCTGCACCAAGAGGAAGTGCAAAACGAATCATTCAGCGTCTTGTTCCTGGTCTACTACCATCACATCCATGTACTCCATGGACTGAAACAAAATTATCTACTGTTCTTGTAGATCCAAGACAATCTACAACATGTACTGTACAAGCTTTACGAAGTGTTGCAAATTGGTCATTAGGAGTTCATTCTGATGATGAAAAAGAATTTCGTAAATCTTTTCGTAAACTTTTTCATCAAAATTTGCCTACACCATCTATGAAAGATATTAATTTAGATGAAAATAAACATCAAATTGGATTAGAAACATCTGTTTTATCTGCATATATTAATATGATACAAGAAGCGGAACATTTTATTTATATTGAAAATCAATACTTTGTTAGCTATATACTTGGATCACAAGATCAGCATGATGAAGAAATTTACGGTAGTGAAGGAAATAATACTGATGTCAAGAGTACTCATAGATCTGGATCTGAGCATCTACCACCTAGTAATTCTACTGGTTTAGTTAAAAATCGTATATGTGAAGCAATTTATCTGCGAATATTACGAGCTCATAGGTAAGCGAACTTGTTAAGCTAATGCTGTATAGTGTATCTGATAAATACTATCTTTGTCATACGTAAAAGAATATCAGCAAGTAATTTCAAAGTGATTTAATAGTATATTGACAAACAAAAATTCCCACATGGAAAAAACAACACCTTGTTATTTGTTTACACCACATCTACCGACTGTAGAAATATACACTTTTAGTTCTAGCAAACTACAGGCGTATTGCTAAAATCTGAGTTTAGCTGAAAGTCAATCAGACTGAATCTTTGGAAAAACAAGCCCTATCTATGCTAGCTACCAATAAAAAAGTTGATAAAACTTTAGTGACGGCCAATCACGTTCGAGTGCGTACTGAACAAACAGAATAGAACATCTGGAAGAGTAACATAATTGTTGAGAAAAATAGTGTTTCATTCATAGTATATAAGTCTACTCTATGTGAGAAAAAAAGATATCCAGAATTCCAATGGATTTATCGTCTTTGGAACCATATCATTTGCCTTATTATCACCTATCCATATGTGACTATATCATACCCCTTCGCGGTCTTGCTAAAAGCCTTAGGAACTTTTTAAAACGACTCCATATATTACCAACGTTGTTCGTATGCACTCCATTTGTCGGATCAATGAAGTTCTATTCGCGAACAGTGACTTGATGAGGATAACCTATTTCTGACGGCAGCATGCACATACTGTAGTACCCAATTCTACCCATTTTTTCTATAACTGCTAAAGTAGATTCGCCTAATCTATCTTTTAGCCATTCAAAATGTCTACCTCATATTTCAATGGCATATACCAAGAACCTTTGACTTGCGAAATCAGATATATATATATATATATATATATATATATATATATATATATATATATATATATATATATATATATATATATATATATATAACTCATCCAGTCCTGCTTAAGTCGTCATTCTTGGTTACGTTTAAATTTGCCAACCAGACATTCATTGATTTCTGCCGCATCACCTACTCCATTAAACTTCACATCCAAATCTCTTCACAGCTTATGTAGGATCACCAACATGATAAACCGGATGCAAACGAATGATCTTGAATGCAATATATGAAACCTGACTGATTATACTTAAGGTTTCCGGTCACTAAAGTTTAGTTCTACTAAGCATTTTAGAACCAATTCCTCAAATTAGTGTTGTGCTTTAAAGCTTTTATCATTATGAAGGTGGAACACATCATGGATTGAGGTCAGTTAAAGAACCATTGAGAACCTGGGAACACTGAAGGGCTATTTCTTCTACTGTGTCTGACTCTTTGATATTATGCCCCTACAACCCTGCTCGAAAACGGAAGCTTCAAATTTCACAGTGAACGCATTAACCACTCATCCACTGGGTCGAATTTCAATGTTTCACAGTTTTCTACTTCTTTCAATTCACAATGTGGTACAACTATCATCACCTGAGGTTTTCAGCTGGCATCCGTTTCTTTTCTGATTGTCTCATCAGAATTTCAGGACATCCATCTCGAAGAATGTTATTATTGAGCTCTAGTGATTACAAAACAGAGTTAACTTGAAATATAATCTACGCTGAATTAATTAATTTGTAAATTAATGTTAGTTAATCGGAAAGAGAAAGAATTACCAATTAACAGCATCGATAACTAGAAATCACTTACATGGATTCGTACGTTTTCCTATTGTGATCACAGTTATATAGACACTAGATGGATGCTTCGTTTGTTCGTGGCTGAGGTCACCGATGTCTTATCTAAACATATTCATTGTACAGAGAAGCCAAATTGCTCAGATCAAATGAATTCAGTTCACTTTGATGAGTGAAACTGAGCATACAGCGTGTTAACAATAGAAAACAGTTTAAAATATTTTCATCTATTCTATCTTCATAATCTTATGGATTGACATATAAAGGAAAAAGATGATGTTAAAGAATATAGACGAGAAATGTTATGTTATTTCACTTATAATAATGAGTATCCAGGCTATTTCGAGACCTCCTTATCCAAATAGATGTTGATCGGTTCGATCTAGTATTAAAGTAAAGAATTAAAGTACCAATAAATAAGAATAAGTAATAGTTGTTTCACAAGAAGTGGAAAATGTTCCTCAGTGGCCTAGTGGATAACGCTTTGGTATTAGAAGCAATGAGTAAGAGACTGTAGTGTTGGGGGAACAACACTCCACACTGGAGTGCAGGTACATCCAGCTGATGAGTTCCAAATAGAAAGAGATACACTTCCTGGATTCATGTGCTACCCACAACGTAATAAGTTATCATAATAATTTTTCAGACAGTATCAAGACGTTCAGATGGGAACTCGTACGTCAACACAGGTCAATCAATTCGATGCAGTATATCAATAAACAGTAATGTTATGAATAGTCATTTAAATTTTTAGTCAGTAAAATACAAAATGTAATAAACTGCTGGTTTTTAACATTTGAAGAATAATCACACTACTGAAATCGAATAGATTGAGTAAAAATCCTTCAGTGTTATACACTGCTCATATCATCAATCATCTGTACATTTAATTGTATCCGATTTGTTATATTATATTTAATATGGACAATTCTTAGTTACAGTAAGTTTTTGAATGTCAATATATTCGGTACGGTGAAGGAAAAAAAATACTTTAACTGGGTGCAATACTGTTGTTATTATAACTACTGTTACTCAACCCACAGTTGATAGCAATTAAATTGTATTACACATTGACTAATTCTGTGCACATACAATATTTAATAAGAAGGGGGAGAAATTAAAAAAATCACAACGATGAGATTTTACGTGCTTGATCAACTAAAACAAAAGTTATTGTACCAGTTGGTGGGATGGTTTGAACAGTTACATAGAGTAATTGTCTTCTTAGCTCATTCTTGCTTTCAAGTTAGTTCATATATGGCTAACAGTTTGTATTAGTTAAAATAACAGTTAACTCATGTCAAAAACATTGATCAATGCAATGAGGCAAAGTTGTTTTTTTGATAGACCTAACAAACTAACTAACTATTTCATTTGATGATATATCCTAAAAAGATAAACTAAAACAAGTTATAAGTATTGCATAATATATGATTTATTTTCTAGTGAAGGACAACCTTTTCGAGTGTTCATAATGCTTCCTTCAATTACTGCATTCAAAGGTGAAGTTGGAACTTCATCAGGAACTTATATACATGCAATTCTACACTATATTCGACAAAGTCTGTTTATTGGTGAATATGCTTTAATTCCAAGATTGAAAAAGGTTATATCAAACCCCGAAGATTATGTTTCTGTATGCAGCTTACGGACTTTTGATGAATGGCCTGATGGTTCTATAGTATGTCAAAAATAACAATTTTCATTGTTACTAGATTCATTCACGTGCATTGATATCATTGATTTATCGAACGGTTGTTGATAGATGTTAAACGTTGTATTATTTTTTCTCAAAGGCAGCTGTGTAGGTTACACTCTAGTCTCTATAATCAAAGAACTTCCAGATCAAGTAGGACAATTTGGGAAGTATGGTGCAGTTTGCTTATTAACTACTCTTCATTTCTTTGACATAGTTCTCCTATTTTCTTGAACGATCTACAAATTACTTATCACTGTTCTTGGATTGAATTTGGCTTCATTCAAACTAAAACATTATCTAAGTTGCATCTGTTCGTAGTGATGTGTCTGAGAATGAATGTTGTATATTATATTCATCTTGGTGGCTAGCAGTGGAATTCAGGAGACACGTTTCGTCTTATTTGGGACTCATCGGCTGGATGTAACTGGACCCCAGTGAGTGAAGTTGTTCCGACTGCCATCAAAAAAGGAGGCTATCATACCCCCATTGGATAACGTTTCAGTATTTCAAGCGGTGTGCACTGCGTTCGAGTCATAGTGGGAACAAAATCACCCACTGGTGGTGCAAGTCCATCTAGCTGACGAGTTCCTAATAGGATTTAATGTGCGTTCTAGATTCCACTGCTAGTCATCAAGATGAATATAACATCATGAATTTTCTGGTAGTATCGATGCATCTTCATAGGAACCTATCTACAAGCAGAGGTCAAGTAATTTATCCCTGTATAGCAACGGGAAATCACAAATATCAGGATAACATATATATATATATATACTTTGATTTTTCTACAAGTAAAGATTCTGACGATGAAATAATAAGCAAAGCATGATAAAAAACATTTCTACTGTATATCTTCTTCTTTTTTTACTTTTCAGAAAACAGAACTTATTTACATTCATAGTAAAGTGATGATTGTTGATGATAAAAAAATGATTTTGGGATCAGCTAATGTGAATGATAGAAGTATGTTGGGTTTTCGTGATAGTGAATTAGATATAATTATTGAAAGTAATTCAGATGAAGATTTAATTGATTGTAAATTTAGCGGTATCAACGTGAAAGTACACCCATTTGTACAAAGATTTCGTAGAAGTTTAATGGCTGAATTCCTTGGAATGTTACCAAAAATTTCAAAAGAATCTAAACGAAATATTCATCATGATTTTTTAGATGATCCAGTAGCGGATACATTTTTCCATAACATATGGAATGCAACTGCTGTCAAAAATGGTGAACTTTTTGAAAAAGTAAGCGCATTGTTTTAATATGAAAATTTTTCCACAGTCTGTTTATAATTATGATTTTTTTTTCGCCTCCATGTTTGCATCAACGAACACTGAAACAAAATTGACCACTTATACTTTGATATTACTTTCAACTTCAAAGATACTATGCCATTAAGCACCTAAATGGAAAGGAAGAGCTTTGATGAATATTATCTTAAAGATAGAGTTAAAAATTAGTGTAGTGATCTGTGAGTTTACTTAAATGATGTTTCAAACAACAGCCATCTACCTGCCGACTTCTAACACCGAAGGTAATACAACACATTGTCGAATAAGTTAGTTATTCTCCAAAGTTGATGGACTGATTCCAATCATCTACTCCCAATGTGTGTGCAATTCGTATGCATTATCCAGTCCTACAAAGAGTTGGTCATAATCTAAGTAGTTATCTGGTAGAATATCTGACTGCGGGACTGTGTGAAGTGGGTTCGAAAACCAGGTGTGACATCAAACTTGTAGAGATTGACGATACGCCTTTTTGACGAGTACCAGGAAGCCCAAAACCTAGGTCGAGGGATTCATGCCAATTGTCTGCATTTAACTGACATTCGTAAGAGTGTATCATGACAATGAAACCGCCCAGTTCTGCGACCACATTGCAAAATGATCTGTAGAATTCGTTCAGTACTTAGGACAAGACAACATGAAGTTGGTTACCCTCGAGTAACCAGTCAGTGTTATCAGGGAAGTCTCTGATCTCGATGCAGTGAAGCGGAATCCAACCTTCAACACGGCATAAATTCCTTTGCGGTTGCAGGTAAGCTTTGCAGTCGATCGCCAACAAACCGAAAATCTGGATCCCAGGTTCACCACCCATAAATTTCTGAAACTTTCATTATTTTGTTCCTTATTCTACTTTTTCAGTACGCGAGAACTTAGATATACGGTTAAATGTATACCTTGATTAGTTATTAAATTAGGTTGTGTGCAGTTGATGAAAATCGGTTAAAATACAATAAAAACATCTCATTCTGTAAATACCAGCCCCCATCTGGTTATTCAATTTTTTCAAGAGGACTGACTATATTTCAACATTTTATGCGCTAGAAAAATTTATCAGTTCTGATACACACTAGTTTAGTTCTAGAAGGAAACTTAATATAACAGGATATTTCCTCCGTTTTTTTCCCAATTGTTTTTCTTTCTTTACCAACAGATTTTTAATTGTATTCCTGGTTCCGGTTTGTTAACATTTCGACAATGCGCTGAAAAGAGAAGAGAAATCCCATTAGTTCAAAGTGATAGTGAAAAGGCAATTGAGTTACTTCAAAAAATAAAAGGATATTTAATACCATTTTATCCTGATTTTCTTGCAAATGAATCACTTGAATGCCCAGTAGGAAGTATTGAACGAATGATTCCAGAAGTTGTATGGACTTAGAGTTTTAAGTAGCTATTTAATCAATAAGATGATAGTGACTAGGTTTTAAAAAATAATAATCTTTCTCTATACTTAAAGAAGTGTATTTATTTATACATTTGCTAAACACTCTGTATTCGAACCTAAATTGTATTCACTGACATTTATTTTTGTTTCATAACACATCCTTTTTTACTTTTTTTCCCACTTTGTAAAGTCTGTCAACTCTTCAAAGTGTTTATATCTTTCAGCAATTACTATTCAAAACTTCTTTGTACAAATACAAAACAAGATTAGATATTATATGCTTGAATAGTCTTTTAAAGTTGTATAAAAATTGAAGGTATAACTGTAGTTATATTAACTTTTTGCGGTTAAAATTAACCGGTGAAGATAATAAGGTGGGTTGATATTGTTGACTTTGTGAATAGTCAAACAAATTATATTCTTCATACACTCTAATTATTTTCTAATACATATTCACTTGACTATTCAATAATAATATCTATTGTTTACAGTATACACTGAAAGATTCTTTGAATTGGTATATTCATAAAAAGCCTCAATCTTTAATCTCTCATATTGACCTGTAAAGTATTCAAGTGCAATTCTCAAAATACTTCACATTATATTTCTGAATAAAAGTGCAAAATCATGACGAATGATAGTAATGATATTCTTGCCTTACAACATATTATTTAAGAATTTCAATGGCGAAGTTTAAAAAAATCCCCTTCAAAACTTTCTCCTTTTTTTATTTTTTTAAAAAAAATTTTCTTTTCTTTTGTATGTAAAACAGTGTTGAACAATGACTGTTACATCATAATAAATATCTAAAATACATTAAAAAAATATTGTGTGTTTTCAATCTGTAGGTGATTTTAAGTTTTCTGCTATGATTTCATCACAATTAACTGAGTAAGCTGGTTGAAGACAATCGATAGAAAGCTATAAAACTAGATTACACGTTTGTTGATCCCTGTCAGCAAGTCGTATCTGCTACAGTAGGAGACCTTACCAATGAGGTATTTTTTCTACCATTGATCTTCTGCAGTACTGAAGAGTAATCTGGTTGATGTTGTCTGATACTTACTGCTAACCGAATTCTCTCGATCATTTTCCACTAACTGTTCATTTGGCTGGAAGAGTCAGTAATTTGATTGACTAACTAAGTGAACAAATGTTCCTTTGTATAAATTCTTCTTCTAGTTCTATGGTTTTTACATAGGCAGTAGTTATTCAAAGAAAAACCGTATTGAAAACCGTTATTTGTTAAAATCAGATAGTATACTTCTCGACGTCTGCTTTACTCTAGTTTGGAACCCATCAGAAAAGTCTTGTTACTAATCAGCGTGAGATTGAGTTTAGAACAGTCAGGTTTATCAGCGAACAAGTTACCATTCTGTGACTGAACTCGAAGGCAATAGTCCTTATCTTGCCACTTCTGTCAACTCACCATATCACGCAACCATTCATCGACGTCGTTAGTTGGAAAATGTCCAGAAAGAAAATGATATCCAGTCCCGCCAAGTTGTAAGTGTATCTTTCAATGATATCACTTTGTGATAAAATGAATCTGAAATTATATAGAAAGAAGAAAAGGTAGTTGAAGCGAAGTCGTTCACTAAGCTATACCGCACCGTGGTTAAACGATTCCAAAATTATTTCTTTCCAGTGGTCAAAATAAAATGAACAACGAAAAAAAGTTAATGGCTTCAAATGAGGGTTTCAAGTAAGAGAATAAACAAAGGGTTATAAAAACAAAAGTATAATTATACAATACAAGATAAATATATTAATAACAGTCAGGACCTTATGATAGCTACAGCAAAGACAATAGTTGACTGCAACTTTTTGAAAACATAGAGCGGCTTTGAACCTTTGAATGTCCAACGATTCAGCTATACCGAGATGACTTGATCAAACTCCACTCAAGTTGTTTGACAGGACACTGTTCAGGATTCTGAATGACTTCTCTAAAGACGCTGCATCGTCTGAGTTCATGAAGTGATCTGTGATTTAGCTAAAGTCTACTATTCTCTATTAATCCCTATATAGGTTATAATCATGGAATTAAGTGAAGAAGTTTGAATAGGATTTAGGCTTGGTTAACTAGTTCAGTAATTACTAGTCAGTCCTAAGCCCACATAAAGAGGGAAGATTGGGCATACCACTACCAACCCCACCACGCAAAACAAATCCAATCACGAATCAAACTTCAAAACACAAAGAAAATATAATTAAAAAACTTATTCCTCGATGGAATCAGAGAGGCGAAATGACGCCGGTTGGTGAAGGCCTTCAAGAAACCGATTGACCGATATGTCTTCTCATTTCTCAATGAATACGAAAGTAGGAATGGTGACATGCAATGTCCGCACCATATTTAAACCTAACAAGGCTGCACAGATTGCCAAGGAGATGAGAGAGTATAGCATAGAAGTGTCAGGTTGGGAATTTGACAAGAATCTGCATATGGAATGGAATGGAATGGAATGGAATAGAATGTAATGTAAGTGGACTCTCCCAACTGTCAACTCGAGAGGAGTCAATAATCTACTCCAATATTGTCACACAGACAACACGACACGACACGACACGACACGACACGACAACCACGAGCACAACACACTGAGTTTTCAAATGGCTATCATGATGTCCCCTACCAACAACATCCAACACTCTCTCCCTCTCTGTGTGTGTGTGTCTCATGCAGTGGGAACCAATCTCCTCCTCAACGATCAGGATCAAGATCAGGATCAGGATCATGACAGCAAGATGAATTCAACTCGAAAGGAGGGAGATTCACAATCATACAATGCTACGCTATGCACCCACAAATAATGCAGATCAGGAAGAGAAGAAGGAGGAATTCTACAGACAACTGCAATCAGTAATGGACAATACCCCAGTCGAGGTGGTGACAGTGACATCGGAATTCTCATGAGTGGTGGGGTGACATGAATGCCGAGCTGGGAGTGGACAAGACAGGAAGAGAACCAAGCAATCATTGGTGGATAAGCACTTGGTGAAGTGATGAGTGAGAATGGATAATTGTTTGCAGATTTCTGTGCATTCAACGATTTGTTGACTGGATGTGAGGTAGTGTGTACAAACACAAGGATATTGAGAAAGCAGTGAAATGGATTTGATTTGAGCAGACACCTGGACACACTACACTAATAGTTAGATCGACTTGATCTCAGTGTGAAGAGAGTGGAGATGGAGACATAGCCAGGCTACTGGACACAAGATAAGATCAAGAAGGGGAGCAGATGTATGTAGGTTCACACCAATCACACCCCTATCTAGTGTGAGGAACCTACCTTTCAAATCAAGTTGAAAGCCTTGAAAGAAGCTGGCGGTGATAGACCACAGTTGAATGAAGTTCGAGTTCAACAACCAGAACAGAAACGGAACTGAAGGACGAAGCTACAGAAGACATCTTCACGTCAGTTAGGCATCAGTATAAAATTGTTGATATTAAGCAACATCCCTGAAGAAGCCTGAGTGGATCAACAATGGAACCCCTTGAAAGCTATGTGGAAAGAAACCTGAATAACCGTGTGAAGAAGGAAGAGGAAATAAGACAATGAATTAATCTCCACGAATACATAGAAGTTGATAGAGAAGGGAGAGGAAGATGGCGAAGCAGAAGATGAACCAGTGCAGGGATAAACAACGAAAAGATGAACTGAGTATAACGTATAAAACAATGGACAAAGAAGTGAAGAAGAGTACGCGCAAAGAAGAGAGACACTTCCATGACACATTGGCAAGTGAAGCAGTACAGGCTGCTGATAGGAGAGACAGAGATCTGACAATATTATATCAAATAACCATGTTAATATCTGGGAGTGAGGAGATCAGCGGAGACGAAACCAATGAAAGGTAGTGAAGGGAAGCTACTTAGCAAAAAGGATAAACTAAAGAAACAATGGGCTGACAACAAACCAGCCAAGAACCTATCACCCAACAAATATGCAGGAGAAAGAGGAGATGGACTGGGCATACACTAAGAAGACTAATTCTGGACATAACGCGTCAGACCAGACCCTCAAATGGTATCCAAAAGGGAAACGACGAGTTGGGCGTTCGAGCCAAGGGTGACATGGAGGAGATCATATGAGGAAGAAATGAAAGCTTTTGGGTAGTCGTGGCGCCAGGTTGAAAAGATTGGAGAGAAGAGAGTGGAATGTAGGCGTGCTACTGAAGCCCTATGTTCCACTTGGAACTGAAGGGAAAAATTATAATAATAATAATAATAATAGTGAGTGTAGTAAAATCAAAAATAATATTTACATTTTCCAGATGACTGGGAGAGAAATTACTGTAACTGTATCTGACTTGAATTCGAAGTCTATGAGAAGGAGAGGGGCTAAACAAGCACCTGTATGTGAAAAATTAGCTTGAAAACTTTGATTCTTGTGGCCTCTTCCATGCTCCGTAATAGGAGTAACACAAACTTAAAGTATTATGATAGCAGTTTGCATAGAATGGTAAATGCTGAGATTTTGTCAATCCTATACCCAGTATCCACTCGATGGACGAGTGTTGAGCTTTCAATTGATTTTACTGTTCTTTTGCCTAAATACCTTAAGCAATGTTCAGGGAAGGGGTGATGCAATCACTAGGTCATTTTACCCATGGAACTATCTTTTTTGTGCGCAGTTAAATTAATAAATACACACAAATATGAGCTAGACGTGACAGCTGCATTGGCACAATAGAGGCATTAGTAAATTTCAAGAGTAATTTGTTGACAAGGAAAGTTTTGTCAACTAGCCTTCTAAGTTTTAGTATTGGTGCATTTTTGAGACCACATCTGCTTTGAATGGTAAAGTTAGCTCTAATCATTTCTTCAATACCATCTGAGAACACTTTTCTCGTGCTGTTTTCATTCTATCAGTCCTTGTGAACTTCTCAGAATAACTGTTCATCTACAAAGAGCTGTTTATTTCTCTAAGTAATTTTAGACTTTATGTAGCATCTGCATGAAGACCTTGCTCTGTTGTGCATTT